TCTGCGGAACTAAAGAACTTGTCATTGTGATGTTTGCCGCATATTTGAATTGAATAGTCTACAACACCCAAGTTACACGATTAATGACATGTAGGTAGGTTTCGAGGTCGATGACCCGGAAAGTTCCGTGAATTTTTTCTTTTCCCGCCATATACGAGCCGCAAGTCGTGAAAAGGTTGCCCGTAAACATGCAGAAAAACGCCGAGAATTGCACGACTAGCATTATTAATTCACCTTATATGGGTGGGTTGTTGACAAATTTGTCATTGACCTAGTTATCGGCAAAAAAACTCCGCGAAACATGCACTTTGCGAGAATTTATGTCGCTGAACTGTGAAAAACCAGAGCTGCTAGGTGGTGTTCACTCAACCTGCTAATATTTTCTTTTGAGAGCTTTGTAAGGATCCAAATAAGCGGAAAATTGGGAGCTATGAAGAATCAAAGCTAATTTGCATTTCACAGTTCTACCACGCAAACAACAAACTAAACGTACTCAAATTTTTCAAAACTCGTAAAAAATCGAAGGAAAATCAGAAATGCAATATACTTGGCCATCGTTAAATTGCGAAAACTAATACTAACGCTGCTATCTCGGAATTAATAAGGCAAACTGCAAAAAAAAACTATCGATTTCAATGCCAGGGGTTTCAGCACATAATCCTTGGTTTACTTCTTTGATATACTCCCTGGGAAAGAGAAATGTCACCAGATTAGAAATGTCTATGAGTGCGTAGGGCGCTGAAATAGCAGAGAAGAAAATGTCTTAGCATAATTTATGGTATCATTTATCCCTTCATTTTTTCTTGGAAGAGCGAAAATACTCGGATTTATAGCAGAAAAACCTGTTTGCCAACCTTTTTGGAAGAAATGCACAGCGCTGCAAAATATCGAAGAACTTACTTCTTCGATTTTAGGCTAAAAAGTTAGAGAGACTTTACAACTCCCCCAAAAATTATGGCTGCATGGTTTTCTGAAAAATATCTCCTCCCAATTTACAAGAGTTAAACCAAAAAAATTTGCGCGATTTTTGAGAGCGAGGTAGAAAATTCCTTTTTGAATTCTGAAGAATTTTCGCGAAGTTAAAATCTGCATCAAAAGCTGGTTGCTTTGCTTGACACTTCAATGTATAAAAGCATTCCCGCTCAACTTAAGAAATCCTATAAATGTCAAAAATGTTGTCACTGCCGGGTTCTACTCCCTTTGGTTATTTACAATTCATTCAGCATGATAAATTCAAGATTATCTGAATTAATCTCAATGCTAATGAAGAATCAGGAACAATTTGTTATTCTGTCATAGGAAATTTTGAGGAATCAAAGAATAGTATACGTTATTAGCGAATAAATGTTCATTGAGCCTGATGGCAAACACTGGAGAAAACGCAAGTCAATCATGAGAGCGCTGTGTCCACATGTTCAAGCAGTTGGGTGAGAGAAGGTTATAAACCAATTTTCGAGAACTCTCAATCGACTAGAGTTTTCTAAGGAAAAAGTTTTGCTTTGTTACGTTGCATTTTGCAGGATTCTCGAAATTTCGGCAACAGCTGTATAGAGAATGTGCAGCGAGATTTAGAGAATGAGTCAATTGTGATGTAGTCATTTCTAAAACTGCCTACCTCTGCAGTGCAAAGAATAAAGCAAATAGGAATGTTGATGTTATCTCAGAAAAATCAATAAAAAATCGAATCATATCTTGTAACATACACGCACAGAATTTTCTTTCAATCTATGGCCAAGATTTTTGCACATTCGCTCATTAATTCTGGGAAAAGCGTATTTTTTTGTATTTTTCACCATCTTGTTGATCTTTGCTTTTCACTTTGGACGAAATGGACAAGAATCTTTTGGGGTCTGTCAATCACCAAAGGAAAGCTGAGCATCGTTCACAAAATAATTGAAAAAATTGTACATATATTCTGAAATCAAAGTTAAATTGGAAAAAAGGCACGACAAAAACATCCAAACTTGGAATGATATGATATATTCTATCTCGGACGCACAAAAAATAAAGAGACCTAGTTTTTTTTGCGATGCCTATTTGAGAATGCTGGCTCAAAACACTAATTTTACAATTTTAAGAGAAAATTGACCACATTGACCTGCGTGTGCACTGTATTTTAGATGATCAGACTTCAGAAAAGAAGAATTCCAAAATTTCTTTTGGAATTTCCCGTTAACAGTATCTGCATAGAATACAAATAGGAAAGTATAAACAATGAAATCGCGATGATCGAGAATTTATAAGCCATTGAAAACAATCGATCCTTTTCTGCTTGCACATTCACAGAAAGAAGAAGATTAGAGACATTGTGTTTGCCACGATTCTCTAAGACTTGCTATAAATCGCGAGAAAATCACAGTGTTTTCCATAATGTGGAAAAACTAGGAATGGACCATATGGATGGGGCATTTTGGTTCATCTCTAAAGATATGAGGCTAACAACGTTTCACGGAGCTTAGCGCAGCAGCTGAGCGCAAAAAGTCGGCTAACGTGATTTTGACCGAGGAGAAAAGTCACGTCCTCTTCATTTCATTACTTCAAAACCATACGACCCGTTACTTACATCGCTTTTACCACAAAAGCTCAGAGCTCGGTACAGGTGGCTTATAAGCAAGCTGGATATTGTTTTTAGGACAAAAAGCAAAGGTGAAAACTTTTTTGTGGGTCCAAGATTAGGTTTTTTAGTCGAATTTTCGTATTTTTGGTCGATTCGAATATTTCAAGAGTCAAAGTGGACTACGTTATATTTTACGAAAGTCCAGAGAGACTTCGTTTTTCGCATTTTCGGAAAGCCATCTCGTGTCAAGCCCTGAGGAGATTCTTAATGGTTTTAAGCACTTGAATGATGTGGAAGTGCATATATGGCAGTCAAACTATGAAAAGTCTTATGGCTCTACTTATCTAAACAAAATATTGTCTTTGCCTTCTCTCTTTTCTAAACCCCCACTCAAGCATTTGAAAATGTTCTAAAAAAACTGAGACTCGTGTAAATCTTCTAGTCTTCTATAGATTACATAAATTCAAATTCCATGTCTTTCTATTCCAAAACTATAATGCAAAAAAAATTGATAATCACTGCAAATCTTTGAGCATCTGTTGCTTGAATTCACGTTTCATTCAACGACAACAAAACTATTTATCTACTATTTTCATTGGCAACCATTCCATATTTGCAATATATTAAGTGGACGTGGAGAGATTATGTATTGTAGTTTATTACTTTGTTTACCTCCTGCGCCGATTATGGAAATATCAGGTTAACTAAATTATTCATTTTGCTTGTTTTTGACGATTTGTATATAGAAATGACACAAGAGTTTTTGTGTAGTCGTATGGCAAAAATCAAATGTTCACACTGTTCGAGTAAAAATTGCTAACTGAAAAAAATGATGCAGGAAGGTAGAATAACCACAGTTCATCGCCAAATTTTCAAAAATCATGCTTTAAGAAGCAAGTTGAAAATGTAACGAACAGATTTACTAACAATATTTTCAAACATTTGCAAGGTCAATGCAAGGTGGTCAAATAAAATCAGTTTGGACTGCCCATAATTGGCTTCCGCGCACGAACTTTAGGAATTTCTCCCATCCTGGTATCAAAAATTTTTTGACTGCAATTCTTGTGCTTTGCCATGTAGCGAACGGTTGTATGAAATCAGTTCTCCTATGACTCATTTATGTTCTCATTACAACAAGAAAGAGGAACTTAGAAAAAAATGAATTTTTAGAGCTGGCTATATGAGGAGTTGCCTTTATAACTGATAAAAAGTCTGAATACTCGATACTTGATAGCAGAAGATTGGAGGTTCCAAAAAAATTTTCAGCCGAGCAACAACTGTTCAAATTACTATAGACTTTCGTATTTGCAAATCAGAACAAAATTGTATAGGCAAACAAGCATTTTCGTGAGTACTTATGTTATTTTTATGCACAACAAACAAGTATTACAATATTTATTCAAAAGAAAGGCAAGCATACGTTACATACAGAACACAGACATGGAAAATTTAAAGAAGCATCAGAATGATGCGCATATGCAAACTGATATGGTATCTACATACAGTATGAGAAAGATGATAGATGAGTAATTACACAAAGACAGTGATTAGTATAAGAGTAAAACACCTGTCCAAATGAAAGTCATGAACTAAAAACATGGGATCTTACACATTGAAGTCGAGGAACCCTTGCATCTTGATTATTGATTATGCTGGGCACTGAGATCATCGCTTTCTGAAATAAGAGAAAGGTTCGAAAAAATGAAATTTCAAGGTAAATCAAACATCAAACTTTATGAACAATACTGCAGTGCGCAAAAAGGCGGCCCAGTTGTTTTTGAAAACAAAATTCCATAATCTATTTCCCCATATCTTTTTATTATTCAAATGTTATACTACACATATAGTGATATATAATAATTGTTTAAATGAAAACAATTACTACAGAAAAAGTTAAACAGCTGATCTGCATGTTTCTTCCATAATCTTTCTCAAATCACACGGCCAAAAATTAATGTTTCAGAAAGCAAATTTTGGAAAATTCTAGAAAAATCTCATCGGATCCTAAGCGAAATCAAATTGGTTGAATTTATCAATTGACACCTTCATGATTGAATCGCTTTTTATTTTGAATTCAATTATGTTTTCTTCGGAATAAAAACCAAAAAGAATCTCATAAATTCTAGTTTTAGTTAGCATTTAAAAGATATCGCTTAGATTTTCTTTTTAAACAAAGTGTGAAGGTTTGCTAAGTTCCAGTAGACAGCAGTAACTACAAAATAAACTTCAAAATTGTTAGTCAGCTTTCATAGGACATAAAAATAATTCCGACACTGCGGTATTTTTGACTTGCAAATCAATGGAGAGAAAGCAAATGCAATCATTTTTTGATTTGGCCCGGGTAAGACTTTTTTAGAAATATTTTTCGCTTAGCCCAGTATTGAAAAATTCTCACTCACTTGGCAGTAATTTTAGCTTCATCCCTTAGGAGAATCAGAGGTACCATGGCACTCGTTCGAGTAATCCGTTGTTCCATCCATCGTTCGTCGACCACTAAAAATGAGCAGTGGCAATATTGAGAAGAACCCATTTTATATCATCGAGTGGTTTAAGTCGGTACTAGAAAACAATACTTCAGTGCTTTCTTGGGATTATTTGGCGAAATTTGCTAAACTCACTATAAAAGGGGATCCGTGGCCGTGTAACAAGGCAAGGCACGAACGAACTGAGCACGGTTGAAGTAAAACCATATCCACGGATTCATAAAGCTGTTCAGATTGCCAAAGAACATGATGTACGTTGCAACTGTGGGATCTAAAATAGAAAATATAGTTCATACAGAATCAAAATTACGAAGAAGGCTGCTAGCGCTGAATGTACTGTCGGGAAAAGCAAAAGCGAGAACTGGTCCCCAACGTGAAATTTTTATCCGCCAAGATTTTTGCGATTTCGTCGTACTGGTTGGAAGATTTGAAGATTAGGTAAAAGCTAATCGCACAGCAAAAGCGGAAACTGGTCCCCAAACTGTCAATTCCCTCAATCTCGCAATGCCTGTCTCTCTTTTTAGGAGCAGTTCGAAGCAGCGTCATAGTAAGTGGACTACTAGATAGCGAGAACTGGTCCCAGATAGGAATTCGCGAAATACCGCATCGAATTGAAAGTTAGTTTCCATATATATGAGACTCAAACGATAAGTATTGGATAGTACTGATTAAATGACTGCTTCTGCAAAGCCTCACTTTAGACAACGGTAAGGTAGCAGTTCGCTGCGGGACCCATGCGAAGATCAGAGTTTGGGAGCACAGTTTATGGTTTTTGCTCTGCGTCTCTTGCTTGAGACTTCCATAACATGTGAGCGACTAGGTGATGGCAGAGACGCAGGGGAGGGGACAAGAGCAACTCGTCTGCCTCTCCTCCTCATGTGAGTCCCACAACGGCTTGCCACCTTACCGTAATTTCGCAGAAGAGTGACTGTGCAGAAGAACTTACCCCAGTTGAATGAGCTGGTCTTTCTAGTTTTTGTCGTGCTTTATGTAAATGCACCACTTGCACGACCACGAACGTGCAAACGCAGAATTTTTTTCACCACCGTAAATTAATTACGAAGATTGGATGAACTTACTAATGGCTGAAGGCCAAAGCGCATCGATTACCGATGTGATGCAGAACGGAGCCCAAAGAATGAAGTTTCCAGCTACAATGGTCAATGTGAGCTTCACAGTCTGAACTCGTCTCCTGTCCAATTCTACACATTGTAAAGTTGCACCTAAATATGGTAACATGAGTACGGTAGAAATACGGTAGATGAGGTCAACGAAAGTGGTTTTGGAGTGGTTTTGGGGGGTTCTCTTCGTTTTCTAGAAAAATGCAGGTACTTGTCCGTGCCTGCACATTAATGTTTACAAAACTGTCGCTTGACATTTTTGAGTTAATTTCTGTCTAGACAGTACGAATGTAAATCCGGAGCAATTTTATCAGACTAACCTTTATGATGTACTTGCATTCCAGCCACAGAGAACCCCATTTGTCCTGCTTTCCTGAAAATGAACATGTTACCCAGAACCAGACATTTGGGATTGCTTCGGGTACTTACCCATTTGCCTGGAAATTACTCCCAAACGATGTGCTTGCCAGACAGCTTTGCAAACACGATAGTAAAGATAACCAGCCACAGCAGTACTCTGCGTTGATACCACTGCTTTAAAACACCACCACGTAGACGGCATACTGTAACGCGCAACTTTACTTGTAACCTGGTTAGCTTAGTAAGGTAAATTTACCTGGTAAGGACTAGTGTAGGCCCCAACGCAATCACCTTCGCTCTTCTTGAACAGGACAAACTGTGGAGTGGAAAAGAGCAAGGCTAGAGCCCAAGCAATCGAGGCGTAGAATGCTGGACGCTTGTAGGCATTGGACTTCATCGAGGCTAGAGGACGGCAGATGGCCTGAAAGGAAATAAATTAAAAAGGTAAGGACCCCTAACGAATAGATTTTTGCCAAAAATTGTCTTTATGCAAAAAGATAGGTTATTGATTGGTTTCCAGAAGCTGTGTTTTTTTAAGATGTTTACGAAGTTTCAAAATTTGACATTTTGACGTGCTAATAATTGAACTTTTAGGTGCACACCCTCGAATTATTATAGATTATAATTATTATTCACGCTATGAAGTTCACCTCTCTCCTACCTTACTCTCCTCCCTAACCCTTAGTTTCTGATTCTGTGGTCGATTCCCTTGAATTTAGCTCCTTGTCATTCCTTCATCCCATGTTTTTTTTTCATATTTTCTTTGCAAACCTTATCAAACTCACTCCCCCTCCCCTCTCGTCATAGATTTTGAAAACCTTTTTATGACTGCCACTTAAGCACACAACAAATTTGAGATGTGATTATGACGGCAAACAAAGCGAAAATTGTGGGTTTTTGAAGATTAGTGATAGGCTGCCATTGAAATAACAGATTTTTCTTCCTTGTCTATTTTTTCGAACTTCCTACGTCATAGTTCAACCTACGCAGATAATCTAGAAAATATTCACCTGGAAACGGTCGGCACTGATTGCGACGAGTAGAAATGAGCTCGCATACATGGGTATTACCTAAAATTAATTTTTTGCGTCTTGAGAGGAGAGATTTAACAAAAAAATTTACCTGGAGAAATTTGACCGTTTTACACAACATGTCTGGTCCATGAAAAACTGGTACCGTAGCTGTCATGGCCATTGTTGGGACCATTGTAATCAGTGCAAAGAGTAGGTCCGCAGCACACATATGTAACATCAGCATCTGAAAATTACTGGTTATAAGTCTGTTTGTTTACCCTAGGGTAAGGTAGCTTACCTGAACAGGTGTAACCCGCTTACGGCGACGAATCACGTTATTCTTCAGAATCACATAGATCAGAAGAGAATTTCCAACCAGTGTCAGAAAAATTATCACGAAATGATGAAGCAACATCCATTCGATCGCTGGTGGGTCACCAACTTCAGCTGACAGTTCACCCGACATTCCAAGTAAGAGCTGGAAAGTTTTACAGGTTTTTAACAGACTACGCTGAAGCCTCTCAAAAAACGGGAAGAAAATCAAGAAGTAAAGGAGTGGAAAAGCACGAAACGTACAAAACACAACACAAGAAAAGGAAAATTGTATGCATTGATAAGTGCAATATGTAGGCTTCTACTCTACCAGAAATGTGCAAGATCCAAGCAAAAACTTAATACATTATGACGGAGAAATGTGAGAAAAATCGTAGCTCGGGAAGCACCTGGAGAACTGCTAGATTTCGCAGTTGTGACGAAATAGCTATAAAAACGCGCTCCATTGCAAAAAGAACAACCGCTTCGCGACAACATGCGGTACAATGGCAGGTGTAGTACGTCACTCTCTAGTGAGTATACTTAAAATTCAACCAGAAAAAGTATAACTTAGCAAGAAAGAAGCGTTAGAATTCTATGAAATCATTGTTTTTGAAGTTATTTCAAGCAACATCGAGAGGAAAAAGCAAATTACTCTGACCGGATTTGAGCATGACTCTCTGCTAATTCGCCTTTGACACGTGCTGTTTCTAGTCAAAGATGAGCTTTTTTGAATTTCTGCCAATTTAGAATGTTTCTCATTGTAGAAAAGAAGAATGATAAAGACTGTCGGGTAACACTAGTAGCCACATCAAAATAAACCGGCTAGATGTCGTGCGCATGCCGCGAAGAGGATGGGTGGCCTTTACTGCTATAAAAGTGCGATGTTCTGAGGTGACCGGTGTTATTTAACAGTTCTTTTTTTTTGAAAAAAAATCTACCAAAGAAGGGGAGAAAATGTAGAAGAGCAAATTCAAACATAACACTCGGGAAATTACGAAAAAGCTAGATAAGTTCAGTTGATAAATGGAAAGAAAGTTGAATGTACAGCAAGATCTTATACTTGCCCTTAACTGTTTTTTTTTGTTTTCTCTTCTTTTTTTGAGGGCTTAACGTCAGAATTTTAGACACGCTTCAATGGCCCTCTCTTTTTCCGCGTTTTTCTTTGTTACTCAAGCTAATGAGTTGTTTCTCGAATTTTTTAAAAATAAAAACATCTTTCAAAACTCAAACACCCTTGATAAGCATGACAAATATTTGAGAAGGAGGAGCTGTTTTGAGAAAAATGTTAATAGCCGATTTTTTTTCAAGATATGAGGCAAGTTAAGCAGTCAAATGACAAGTCTTCGAACAAAAAATTGAATTTTTGAAAGAAAGAGCTTTTGAAAAGGGTTTTTGAACATTTACGAGATGTCTGCTTCGTATAAAGCTCATTGTCATCTGTTGCCGACAAGGAAATAGTAAGGGCAGGGGGGGGGGGTGGGTTACAAGTCCCATACGCACAGCCTACAATGGCATAAAAAATGTCATTGGTAATCTCTTGTAAAGCATCAAGAGAACTCGTCCAGGTGCAACGGAGGCGTGCTTGTCTAAGAAAGCCAGACGTAATCATAGCGAGATAATATGCATTTTTCACTAGATGAATTTTCAATATTTGCAAAAACAACATTTACAAATAAATAATTTAGCAGTCTAGAGAGTGTGTGCACAAATTCAATCAAAAGTGCGATTATGCAAACTTCGATTACGCCTAAGAAGTTGGAAGTGGGTGGATAGAAAAGAAGAAAAGAAGAAGTTGGTGTCTCATGATTCGGTCGAAAATGTTTGCATAGGCTCCGGAACTTTCGCCAGACTGCTGCGGAACTTCTGCATAGGTTCTGCGGAGGATTTAAATGACTCAATGAGCGTGATTGCTCCATTAATTAGCAATTTAGTGAGCGTTAAACTGCTAGAATAAAAAGAGCCTGTAACTGTAAGGATCATTTCTACGTAGACGAACCTCAAAAATTGCCCTCAAGGGTAAGCATGCTTACGTCAGAAGAAATTTGTAAATAAAGAAGGAATGGATGAGAATGGCTCTTATGACGGCATGTGAGACATACTTATGGGAGTTCCGCATTACCAAATCGGTAACTCTAAACATATTTATCATACGAGAGGAACAGAGTTCTGGCAGGCTTGGCACAACACAAGAAATTTTACGAATATTTCGCAGCTTCAAAAAAAATGACGAAAATCTCAGAAATTCGAATCGTACTGGCCTCTAAGCATATAGGAAAGGTCACTATGCTTTTGTGGGCCTAAAAAAGGTAAAATTTGTTCGTTGCACTATTCCCACACACATCGTCATTAGTATGGCTTGTTCAAATACCCTTGTCGAGAAGTCTAATTAGTACTTTGGCATCGATCCTGTTTCTTATGTGGATTCTAGTGAGCAATTAGCATTCGGAATTAGAAGAAGAAAGGTCGAAGGAGGTGGGCAGAGATACGGGCGTACTCGTCTCTCTAGCAGCTCAATAATTTTTGTGAAGAGACCCAATTACGGTTTTGTTTAAAAAAATCGAAGTGGATTGAGAATGTGTAGGAATTGGATCAGGTTGTAAAAGCACTTGGACAGCCTTAGATTGAAATTCACGCAAATCTTCGCACTGATGGACTTAGTTTTGGAGCCTACGCAATTTTACGGACAAGAGAGGTTGAAGCTATGAAATTTACCAGTTCTACAGACAATTGACCACTTTCTGGAATTTGCAATTTCAAAGGTAAATAATTTCTTCTAGAACCCACGCACTTTTGGAATCTACACAGTTCAACAGGCAAATGAAATTGGTCGTTTGACGCAATCTTACAGACAAGTGATTTACTGAGTTTGTGTCATTTCAACGACAAATCAGCCTATTTTTGGAGTTTACGCAAATAATTGAACTTATATTTAAATTCCACTAATTTTACAGACAATTAGCTTAAGATTTGTTTCACATACAAATGACTTATTCCTAGAACCAGAGCACTCTTGGAATCTACGCTACTGAACAGACAATACTTGTTTGGTCTACGCAAACTTACAGACAAGCGACTTATTAAATATGTATCATTTTAACGACAATCCCTCAGTTCCTGGAATTTGCGCAAATTCGATACAATCAAACCTATTTTTGGAATTTACGCAATTTTACAGACAATTGAGTTATCATTGAAACCTACGCACTTTTTGAATCTAACAAACTTATTTAATGAACTTATTTGATTTACGCATCTCACACATAATCGATTTACTGAAATGTGGACTAAAACGACAAGTCCTAATTCTGGAATTCATGCAAACTTAAAACAATAAAACTTATTTCTGAAATTCATGCAAATTTGTACTAGAGCAGGTCTAGTTGAATGTACGCAAATTTACAGACGTGAGACTCGCACGGGTGCACCAGCACCGAGTAGCTCATCTAATCTTTGAGTCCCAGAATAAATTCTGAAGCTAAGGTTTCCTCGGACGTTACGTTGATGATTAAACTATGTCATAGTTAGCGCAAAAATTCAAAGAACCCTTGCAGTTTAGTAGTCAGGTCTTCTCTGACCCAGACTAGATCCTTTATGGATTCAAACTAAAAGTCAAACTCGGTGGCTATGGAAGCCTCTCAGTTTTTGAATAGACAAGACCTTGGATTTTAGCTTGAAACCTCACCTCTGACCATTCTATACATTTTCTCATACGTAGGAACGATCAGCGAATATCTATAGATAAATGTCCATCAGCATGTCCAGAATCGTACATAAGCTACTTTTGATGAAAATGCTATTTATATAGCTCAAAATTTGAGGCAAAGTGTGAGAAATGTTAACCAAACAAGGTTCGGGTACCCGACAAAGTAAACGCTGCGTAAGAACTCAAGTTAGAGTTAGCTTTTGAAACACTTTTGCTGGGATTATGATAAGCAATGTTGTTTGCAAAAAGAAATTTTGCGAAAGGTGTCCAAGCAGGCTTAGACGCCAAAATTTTACTTAGAAAGACTAAATAACTCTAAAATTCAAAGTCACCAATTATTATGATTAGATGAGGAAGGAAGATGTAGAAAATTCAGATGAAGGAGGAAATGCGTTACCCATATTACTCTAAACACCCTCGATAACAAAAGGTTGCCATATTCAAACAATGGGAAGGCTTCCGTAACTCCGATAATTATATTGCTTGCTTACACTACGCATGTGCTTGTGAGTTTGGTCGTAAATAAAGAGACTTGGGTGAGAAAAAACCACTTCAGGTAAAACTAGCTCTCGCTAGCTCTCGTTCCCAGTAATCAGAACAGGTTTGCAATGATTCAGTCATATTTTATATATTCATTTTATTCCGAGTTTGTCATATTGAATCACTCCTATCCAATGAATTCTCAAAAGTTCTCGGAAAACATGTGATTTTACATGAAACCATCTTGTTTTGATTTGATAGCACAAACAGATATTTACACAGAATTTAGCTGTTTGAAAAATTTGTGCTGTTTCAAAGAAGATGTGAATCGAATTATCGGTTTTTGGAGTAAAATAATTTTCCTGCTTTTTTGGGCACAAACAACGCTAGCAAACATCAACTATATGAGTTTGCAAATAAGCATCAGAAAAAAATCCGGTAAATAACTTTCTTATCTAGCCTGAATAATAATCAAGAAATCTCATGAAAGCTTGATACGAACACTGAGAACATGAGCCGTGATTTCGGACTCAATCAGTGTGAATATGCGTCAGCCGAGCAGGTTTGTTTGCTAGGAAAAAACAAACATTCTATAAAAAATAATTTTTAGTTTGGAAACACTTTGGAAATTCAGGTGGCGGTGCTTTCTACTTTGGTCAATAAATACGCCTAGGCACATCTCAGAAGTTCCCTCAAGACTTCTTATGCCGTAATAAGATGACAGCAAAGTTTTTAGAATTTACTTATTCTCCCCTAAAAAACTTTTTCAGACTTTCTGTGAAGTATCTATAGCTACACACTTAATTTTGATTGGTGGCATCTCAAACGAAGCCAACTATGTAGGATAATTGGACCATTACCGCATCTATTCCAAGGATGAAGGAGTTCCGCGTATAATACAAAAACTTCTGAATGATTCATACGAAACATATTTCCGCTTGGACGCTTTCGCCATTATATTCATCAGAAGCGATTCTATG